TTGGTTTGGGGCTATTTTATGGGTTTTTTTGCAGACAGTTTGTCTCTACTTTGATGTAGAGTCTTTGTAGCAACCCTTTAAAATGCAGCCTACCAACCTACTTTTTTGCTGAGTGTTGCTGAGTTTCTCATATTCACAGATCTGTCTTTGTACTTACAGGTGACCCTTGGAATAGCTGTGTGAATCTCAAATCACTGAGGAACAGAGTCAAAGGGGGAGTTTTCCTGTGTTGTGTTTTGTAATGCCAGGTGAGGACGTTAATAAAGCCGATGTTACAGACTATGAAGGACAAACTGCTAACACTGCGAACAGAAAATACTTATTTGGGCATCTTTGTCAAACACTTGAAAGTGCATCATAGATAGAATGTGTCCAAAAGCTTTTCTCATCCAGAGGATCTTTGCGGATAGCACAATGCGATTTGGAAAAATCTCTTTGTTCCATTTTTACCTCAGAAAGAGTATTGTGTGTTTATTGCGTTGAGGTTTTAGCATGAGACATTTACAGCGGTGCAACTTTGGATATGCACACACTAAACAAGTAAAAAAAAATTTGAAAGACCACCAGATTTGATCAAATTACAGATCCTGACTGACCCTGAAGAAAAACTCTCCTCACCGTTAACCGTACAGCAAAGTCACTGCTTTGTCAGCTCATAATACACAATTTTATTTAAAGGGGTCATAGGATGCCCATTTTCCACATGTTGATATGATTCTTTAGGGTCTTAATGAAAAGACTGTAACATAGTTTGGTTAAAATTTCTCAATGGTAGTGTACATATTTCAGTTCAAACAACTTGTAAAAGTGCATGTAGCATCCTTTGAGAATGAATTAGACACTATTTTGAGCCAGTTGTGTATTTGAAAGCTTTGTGCATCTTATGTATCTAATATTTATTTAAATTATTCTAACTAGGTGTTATTAATTAGCTCTATTTATTTATTTATTTTTCAAATAATGTATTTGTTTATCTAATGTTCATGATTGATCTCCTTGGCCAAAGACATGTTGGTGCTTTTATAAAGAAACCTGTAGGAAAGGACAAGAAGATTTCAGAACTAAATATCAATACAGCATCCAGAATGCACCACATTAAAGAATAATATACAGTTTAACTTGTTTAACATTGTGAATAGAGGAATCTGCAGAAGGTTTAATGGATGTAAGTATTATTTTGTGTGTTCTGAGGCGGTTATTTTGTGTTTGACTGACAATATGCATGGGAAACTCTATCTGAAAAGTCTTATTATGTTACATGAGTAACATGACTGCTGTGTTTTGCTCACATCATGTTAAAGAAATGTCAGTTTTTATGTCTTTCTATTTACTATTTTTTACATCAGTGTTTTAGGATGTCCATATATTCTGCTGAGTTCATAATGCTCAAGTAAATGCAACACTACAACACTGGCTGTGTCTATGAAGATGTCATATTTGAAGAAGTATTGATGTTGAAGGGTGCAATCAATAGAATAGAAAGAGCAAAGCAATCAATTGTAATTAAAACTGAGTGTTGATGGTAAGATTAAAACGGAGTGCTGTTGGTAAGAAAGCTTTGCCACAATAATTCCTACAAGAAATAACAACAGTGGGACACCGTGCTGTGAATAAAGCTCGTTGTTTTCTGAATCTTTCAGCGTTTCTGTTTTCAAAAATCATTCAATAAAGCCCTACAGCAACATTTGATACATAGAAAATAAAAATAGAAAATATATATGGTCGTGCGTGCTTTCCACGCATGCCTGAGAACAAAATAAATGTTTTAATAACATCAAGGCCTATTGTTTTATTTGCTTATAAAGATCTATAATGTGTTTTCTGTATATTTCAATGCATACAACATCCACATTTGTACACTTACAAATTGTATTTCGCACAGGCTCTCTAGGAATAGTGCACCCAAAATGAACATTGTATCATTATTTACATACAAACCATAAACCCATATTCTTCTATCTTTTAATGGAAAACAAAAGGAGAATACATATGCAAATGCTCAATTTCACAAAATCTTAATGATTCATTCAAGAATCAAACTGATACAATTCTCAAGTTCAACTCACTGATTCACTTTTTAGTAACGGCTCACAGTGAATAATAATACAATGTACAACATCAAAAAATTGAATGCACAAATCAAATGGACTACTTTTATATTTTATGGTACCTTTATGTTGCTTTTGAGTCCTTTTTGGAACTTTAAAGCTTCCCATTCATTGTAATTGCATGGAAAAGAGTGACATTTTGTTATCTGGGTGAACTTCCTTTACAACTATGAAGTCAGATCTCAATATAGTTCTTTCTTGTAACACTAGAGAAAGATTCACTTATTTTAATGCATGTTAACATAATGGTCCAAGTTCTCATGCATTTGGCATGCACTACTATTGCATTGTCACATGCAATGCACAAACCACTTTACTTAGGTATAAATATTAAAGCGAATCATTCTGTCCCTATTTACATAAGTGCTCAAATTATGTGTGACAGTATGTAGGTAAAAAACACATAATGGTCCTGTAAAGATGGTGGATCTTTTTCCTTTTTACAATAAATTATCTCTTTTTCTCTGTGTTGACACCAGAGGAACCATTAGGCCATTGCCAGCACAGTTTACTCACAGTCTGAACGCCTTAACACTAAATCTAGATGACAGACGTGTGCGCTGAAGGTGAAGAAATGATGACATCTGATGATGGGGCAATAGGAGTCTAAACTTTTTTAGGGATTTGGTCAACAGGGTTGCTACAGAGAGACTGAAAGACTTGACAGAGTGAACATTCACCACCAAATTATCAGCTGCTCACACATCAATCAGCCGTCAGTCAGAAATATGGAATTATGACACAATTGCCGGCCTATAGATTCAGGGGCCACGAGAAGTTCAAGAACTTTTTGTGCTAGGGAATAGAATAAAAGAATTGAAATGACGTATTTTCGTTGTATTAAAGGGGTCATATGATGCGATTTCAATTTTTCCTTTCTCTTTGGAGTGTTACAAGCTCTTGGTGCATAAAGAAGATCTGTAAAGTTGCAAAGCCAAAAATCTCGAGTCAAATCCAAAGAGATATTCTTTATAAAAGTTAAGAGTCAACCACGCCTACCTAAAACGGCTCGTTCTAACACGCCCCCACATATCTACGTCACTGTGTGGGGACATGACTAGAAATCAGTGGTTAAGTTGTATTTACTTGATTTATTTGAAGAGTAGACTACAATGCCGGCTGTTCTGACTCACAGACTGTAAGTACGTTTTCATTTAAAGGATTTGCCACTGATGATTCAAATGCGCGTTTTGGGCAGTAGAGTAGCGCTTGTTGTTTGCCATTTCTCCGATCACAAATGCAGACATGGTTTTATGTTTACACGGCACGATGCAACGCGTAAAAAGACAGTATAAGTCATTATAATCCGTAATTATGTCCCCACTGGATGCAACAAATGCCTCGTTTATAATGGGTTTTAATGTTTTTGTCTTGTCACTCAGGCCGGACAGGGCATCATCACAATATGGTAAGGGGCGTAACATTTCCGTCTCACGCTTGAGGTATTCGGCCAATCACAACGCACTGGATAGCTGGCCAATCACAGCACACCTCGCTTTTCAGACCGATGAGCTTTGTAAAAATCGATGCGTTTCAGAAGGCGGGTCATAGAGGAGAAACAATAATGTACAGTATGTGGAAAATAATGTTTTTTTTTACTTTAAACCACATAAACACATTTCATTACACCAAATACACAAAATAATGTTCTTTTTAGCAACATCATATGACCCCTTTAAATGAGAGATTCGGCCGGGTAACAGTGCTCATGTAATAACATGTAATAATAGTACTTGTCTAGTCATCAATTTTATTTATTATTTTAGAGTCATCATCATCTTCAGGAAGAAAATAACCAAATTCCAAGCACTGCAGCCTCTAGAACATGAGTTTATGGCTTATATGGGCTTATATCTAATGTTTGCATTGTTTTAGTATTGTTTTTGACTTAGGTCTCATAGCAAATTTGAACAGTTGCAGGTGCCCACACTGACAGCCAAAATGTTAGATTAGTCAAAAGGTCCTTTTCAATTTATGGGTTATTGAAGTATTGTAGAGTCAATATTGTCTGTGTATTTTTGACAAACACTGCCACCTTGTGCCATATGCATAGTCCTACAGTCAAAACTCTGATAACAAGAATGAGGGAATGAGGTCATTTGAATGCTATGTGTGTATATATGGGTTTTAATCATTATTTATAATGATACTAATAATAAGTTTTAGCTGATTTATGGGGACATTTTTCAGCTAGCCTATAATAGTTAATAGTTAAATTGATAAATTAAATAATAATTAAATGCGAAAATGTATATATTCTAAATAAATATAATCGCAAAAAATGTAACATTACATTTATTAGCTGAATGCATGTATAGTACATAACATTTTGCACTGAAAATACTTTCCATTTCTAAAGGCTTCAGTGTGGAATATTGTAATTAGATCGTGATATAACAATAATAATAATAATAATAATAATAATAATAATAATAATAAAGAGTTTTATCTGATTATTGAGACATTTTTCAGCAATAGTTAAACGTTTCAGCAATAGTAGTTAATAAATTCATTATTGGAATAATAATTAATGCATAAATTAGCATTTATATATAGTAGTATATGTAATCGTATGATAATATAATCGTATAAATAAATAAATAGATAATATAATCTTATAAATGTAATTATTACTACAAATTTAATAGAATTTACAAAAAGAATTTAAAAAAATGTAATTAAAACATAAGTTCATGATAAATTGTATTAAAGTGGGAAGATATTTATCGCATTGGTCATATCTTCTTGGATATATTTTGCACATCTGACCTAACAAAATAGGTTAGAAACTAATTCTCTTCCATCACACACGCCCTCTCGCCGTACGCCACGCCCTGGAGTTCCGCCCCTCTCTCGCAGGGCGGAAGTTGTCATTCTAACCGCTTCCTACTTCCTGCGTCAAAACATTCCGGTGTGTCTATGCGGCTTTAACGGTGCTTTTCGGATTTTATGAGTGATTATGGCTGCGAACAGCAGCACCGGTTCGGCTACGGAGCCTCCGGGACTGGAGACCCAGTGGCGGGAGATCGACAACCTGAACCAGCAGCAGCTCCGGTCCGGAGACAGCTGGTGAGAGAAACTTCAGCCTAAATAACAAACAAACAAACATTCAATAAACAACAACAACTACAATACAGATAAAGCACTAACAGTGCTCTGATGAAACTGATAACGCGCTCGAGTTTGTGCGTTTTGAGGGTCTTTTAGGTTCTTCAGATTTAGAAACAACCATGCCAATGTGATTGAGATTTAAATGATTCAGACATCAAATAAAAGAGGGAAACTAACACCCAGGTCAGTTTTCAGGCCTAATACATCGGGTTTCCTGGTTAACAGCTTCCTTAGCATCATTAAGGTTTGACAGGTTGCTTGTCGTACCAGATACCAACGTCGTCAACTCTACCCGCGTTAAACTGTTTCATTTATTTTCATTTTCATTAAGCAAATGCTCACATGACCTGATTTTATGGTGTCGAAATTATTACTGCACTTGCTTTAAGTTTCACTTCCATCTCTAGAAGGTGTGTCAGTCTGTAATGGGAAAGTTACTTTCGGTTTGTTCTCGTTCCTTGAACAGGAAAGGCAGATCTGCTGTAATTCCTTCTCGTCATTAAAGGCAAATGACAAGCGTTTGGTGTCTTAATTCATGTCTGACACTGTAGCCCTGTGCAGTTTACATGAAACAGATTTGTCCTAAAGCTCATTAAATGATGTTGGACTTTTACAACCAAGCAGTGTTGAATGTGACTGGTGCATGTATCTGTATTGCAGGTATTTGTTGGACAAAAGGTGGTATGATCAGTGGAAAGAGTATGTGCACACCGGGGACCAAAATTCTTCCTCCTATCCCGGGAAAATTGATAACACTGAGCTCTATGAAGGTAAGTGCTGCTATTCTGCGATGTTACCCACAAGATCCCATAGTAGCACCATAAAACGTTTAATTTCTCATTCTCTGTAAATCTGTTCCTTTAAAGGTATAGTTGACTCCATAATTAATAATTGCTGAAAGATTACTCACCCCCAGGCCATCCAAGATTAAGTTTGTTTCTTCAACAGAACAGATTTGGAGAAATTTAATATTACAACACTTGCTCACAAATGGATCCTCTGCTGTGAATGGGTGCCGTCAGAATGAGAGTCCAAACAGCTGATAAAAACATCACAATAATCCACAAGTAATCCACACCACTCCAGTCCATCAGTTAATGTTGTGTATAGTGAAAAGATGCATGTTTGTAAGAAACAAATCCATCAAGGCGTCTTCTTACCAGAACATGAGTCCATAATCAATAGTAATGCTTCCTCCAGTGGAAAAAGTACACTGTAGAAAGCAAAGTTATAGGATAGAGGACTCGTATTTTATCTGGAAGCAACCGTTTAAAGTTAAAAACTCCTTAATGATGAATTCGTTTCTTACAGACGTTTATTGATGCAATGGAGTTGTGGATTACTATGATGTTTTTATCAGCTGTTTGGACTCTCATTCTGACGGCACCCATTCACGGCAGAGGATCCATTGGTGAGCAAGTGATGTAATACTACATTTCTCCAAATCTGTTCCGATGAAGAAATAAACTCGCCTACATCTTGAACGGCCTGTGGGTGAGTACATTTTCAGCAATTTTTCATTTTTGGGCAAACTTTTCCTTTAATAACTGTGGAGGCAGAAGATGTTTTAAATATTTTGTATGCTTACTGTAGATCTGGATTCCTACCATCTTAAAGAGAGGCTGACAGAGAATGAGGACTTTGTCCTGGTCCCAGCAGAAGCCTGGCATAAACTCTTGTCGTGGTATGACATGATGGACGATCAGCCTCCTTTGGAGAGAAAGGTAGTGTTAACAAGACTTCTGACTTTTCTTTCTATGAAATCAAATGAGATGTTGAGTTCAAGATAGGCAGTGTTTGCCATTAATTGAGGATGATGTGAAAACCATCTTCTTTCTCTCTCCAGGTTGTTGATCTTCCCAGCACTGTTAAAGTAGAGGTCTATCCTGTGGAGGTCTACCTCTGTCTTTCTAGCAACCTGGAGAGCACTGTTTCTGCACGCTTCAGTCGAGCAGACAAGATACGTGAGTAAAGGCTGTTAATGAATAGAAAAAATATTTGGACACATAAAAATGTCTGATTAAAGATACATTCTCGCTTTGCTTTCTGCATGTAAAATCACCGCAATGAATATCTGGGCTAGGGTTCTGTTTTCAATAAGTAATGCATCCGAAATAACAAATAACGATAAATTCAGCCCACTTTCCATCTTTGATGATTGCTTTCTTTGTACTAAGCTCAATTTGTGATGTTTAGATCCTCTATTGATGTATATGTTTTTTTCGCTATAGAAATGCACAGAATTTACTAAACGTAAACTTGAAAATGAAGGAACTTCTTTGCACGTGCTTGTTTTCTTTTGCATTTGTATGCAAATGAATGGCACAAATCTGGCATGTTTTAAACATAAACCGTTTTAGTGATTGTTTAGTGATGTTTTGCTTGTAAAGTGTGTTAGTGCTATGATCTTAAATAAACTCTTCATGGTTTGATATTTTTATTCAATGACGTTCATACACTACTGTTCAATAGTTTGGGGTCGGTAACCATTTTCTATTTGAATGTAATTTAAAATGTAATTTATTCATGTGATGCAAAGCAAAGTTTTTTTATGCTTACCAAGGCTGCATTTATTTGATGAAAAAATACAGTAAAATTGTGAAATATTATTACAATATAAAATAACTGTTTTCTATTTGAATATATTTTAAAATGTAATTTATTCATAAGATGCAAAGCTGAATTTTTAGCATCATTACTTCAGTCTTCAGTGTCACATGATCCTTTAGAAATAATTCTAATATGCTGATTTGCAGCTCAAGAAACATTTCTAATTATTATCAATGTTGAAAACAATTCTGGTGCTTAATATCTTTTGTGGAAACTTACATTTATATGTTTTTCAGGGTTCTTTAATTAAATAGATTCTTGGAAAGATTTTTTTTATAACATTATAAATGTCTTTATCGATTTAATGCATACTTGCTGAATAAAATATTAATTAAAAAAGAAGAAAAAAAAAGAAAAATCATACTGACCTCAAACTCATGAACAGTAGTGTATGTTATTAAGATTATGTATTTTAAGTTAGATGACAGTTACATCAATACATTACTATTTCTGCTCATAGTAACTCGTAGCTATAAGCATTGAATTATGCCTGTTAACTGGCATACAAATTGTCTTAATCAATACTTTAATTAAAATAAACTAAATGTCTTCTTCGGCGCATCAAAGGTTTTGCACAAGCTCTGGATTGCCAATTAATTTACAGAATGTTAGTCTCGCAAGTCTATTTTATATTTGGCATGCAATTATGTTTTGTAAACTGATGTGTGAAACCCCTCAGGATATTGTCAGCCTGGTGTATCTGAGCTGCAGATCTCTGAGTGCGTGCATGTGTGTAAATCTCTAACGTGTGTATCTGTGTTTGATAGATGCTATACATCAAAAGATACGGCAGCATTTTAATGTATCAGAGACTGCTGAGAGCCGACTGTGGATGCGGAGCACGGATACGAGCTCAGAGAGGCTACGCAACCTTAACATGACTGTCCTAGACACCTGCCTCAGCTCTGGCATGGTAAAATGCACACCTACCATTTACACTCTGGTCATCTATTCTGTTATGTAACAATTTGGTGATATTTACGGTTATAATCACTGCCAGCAACCTCGCCTTGTGTGTTGGTCATATAGACAAACCTTGCTACTAGTAAATGAATGCTCTGACATGGGCTACCCTGCATGTGTTTGTGTGTGTGTTGTGTCCTAACATGCTCTGCTCACTCTGCAGACGGTGATTATGGAGATCAGGAATGCGGATGGTACGTGGCCCACATCCAGGCCTCAGATCATGTGAGTATAAAGACACCAGCTTCCTTCTCTCGTGCACTAGTGCAAATTTCCTTTCTGTTTTTGTTTAGGAAAATGGAAAGACGTGTCTAAAGCACAAAACGTCCACATATGTATCATCATTCACATTCATTTACATCTGTAGCTAGTTGTAGTAGGTTAAATGCTTATATCCTCAAGAAATGGCAAGGCAATGAGATCAGTGTAGCACAAATAAACTTTGAAATCAATCCTGTGGTTGGTAGAAAACATTGTTCATTTTGAAAATAACTGGGACCATATTATTTACACCCGCTGTCGAATAAGTCACTCCAGAAAACCCACATGCTTTTGTTAAAGGGTGAAGATCATCCATTATACCTTTAATGCCAGAGTCTAATAAACCATTATAGTAGGTTAAAAAGAAGATTTTGGACTGTACGAATCAGTTAAACAATAAATGGGCATGTTTTAAGGGATCATATCATGAGGAATCAAATTTTCTATGATTTTTTTGGAATTAAAGAGCTCAATGTACTTTGACAGTTTCAACTCAAGAGTTCCTTCCCAGATCAAAAAGACCATTTATTGAACCTTGGCAGTCAAATGACTTGCTCTGCACTTCCACAACCTTATGATGTGATGGTCTTTTACTGTGTCATAAAACACTGTATTATAGACAAGACAAATTTATTCATATAGTGCTTTTCATAATACACTTTGTTTCAATGCAGCGTTACAGAAAATCATGATGTTAATGTATTATATTAATATCTTCATGCCTTGTATTTGCATTAGAGCTGGGTGATAATGTAGTTTACATTTTGTGACAATACAAGCAAACAAGCAGTTGTGATTTGCTATATAGCAAATATATATCCAACATTATATTTGGAGCTGTGCAATTACATTTTTTGTGACAACATGAACAATAACAGCAAATGTTGCTATAAAGTGTATATACTGCTTTATGTGAGTGTACTAAATGTAGGCAGGTAAAGTAGGTTGTACTATATACAACTTTGGGTGATATTATAGGTGACATTAATATAATAAAGTTTATAGTCATGGATTGTGTGGTTTGTAGTTGAAAAGTATAATTGATGGCCTTAACATTGAATTCTTAATGATAATTTTATTCTAACTGTCAAAGAGAGAGTAGAAAATTGTTGTATAAAAACTAATTATAACTGGTTGTGCTGCAAAACATTTTAATTAAGTTATAATTCTCAAAAAGAATTAAAACATAGCAAGCTACCTACCTAAGCCAGCATTTTTGGCCACCGTAAATATGTTTGAAAGTTTGTCCAAATCAAAAATTTAAATGCATTTATCTCATCCAGTAATGCTGTTTAGGTGTTTAGCTCACTGGACTTTAAAACATCACTCTGATTTTATTTCATATTTGGAATATGGAAATTTGTGTCTCCAGGCGGAACTCTGCTGATGAGGACTCGTATCAAGGGCCTCCTGGAGTGTGTGGCCTCACAAACCTAGGCAACACCTGCTTCATGAACTCAGCTTTACAGGTCAGAGGTCATGAACACTGAACACTCAGTCACATAACTTTTATAAAAGGCATTTCTTAAAGTGCATTTTCCCCACGCAGTGTCTAAGTAACACGCCGCCACTGACTGAGTACTTTCTGAAGAACTCATATCTGGAGGAGCTGAACTTCACCAACCCTCTGGGCATGAAGGGTGAAATTGCAGAAGCCTACGCAGACGTCATCAAACAGATGTGGTCAGGCAGGCACTATTCTGTGGTTCCTCGAGTATTTAAGGTAACCTAATTGTAGTGATCACTCTGCATTAGCCTTTTTGTAGTGCAAAACTTGTTCATGCACACCAGCAGAGCTCAAATCAGTTGGTTCATTTTAAATCTGGTTCCCATTCTATTTACTATACCGTTTCCCTCTTCTTCGTATGATTGCCTCTCTGCCTTCCTATCAATAAAGGTTTAATAAACAAAGCTTAATATGCAAAAACAACTATGAGTACGAGTACTACGAGTCTCTTCTGCTCACCAAGGCTGCATTTATTCGATCTAGTTTTTATTTAATACAGTAATATTGTGAAATATTATTACAATTTAAAATAACTGTTTTCTATTTGAATATATTTTAAAATATTTTCTGTGATACAAAGCTGAATTTAGCAGCCATTTAGCAGGCTTCAGTGTCACATGGTCCTTCAGAAATCATGAAGATTTGCTGATTTGCTGCTCAAGAAACATTTCTGATTATTATCATCAATGATAATTATATATTTATTTTTAATTATATATACATATTATTTTTTTCAGTTGTTGTTGTTAGTGTCTGACAATTTATATAATGTAGTTTATTTCAAAATATAATTCATAATGCGTTAAGTTCCCCTTTTAAGGAAATAAAACTAAAATAATATGCGTCAAAGATGCATCTCCAGACAGTTGGCTGCGTCTAAATATGTTTTGTGGTGTTTTGACGCAGGTATCAGCTGAACAGTGGTTGTGTGGATCAGGATGGTGAGGAGGTGGTTATGGCCATCTACATGCGTGAACGCTCCCATTACAGAGATTACGGCTCGGGCAGCAAAAGCTATAGCACTTCCCTGTTCGGTCACCCGCTGCTGATATCTGTGCCACGCGCCCAGTGCACACGGGAAGATCTCTACCAGCTCCTCCTGAAAAGATTGGCGTAAGTCTAATCAGTCATGCATGTTTGTCACAAGCTAGTTTTCATTCAATATTGGGATTGTTTAGTTTTGAATATGTTGTTATTTCTGTGATACAAAGCTGAATTTAGCAGCCATTTAGCAGGCTTCAGTGTCACATGGTCCTTCAGAAATCATGAAGATTTGCTGATTTGCTGCTCAAGAAACATTTCTGATTATTATCATCAATGTTCAAAACAGTTGTGTTGCTCAATGTTTTTGTGATGATATATTTTATTCAGGATTCTATGATGAATAGAAAGTTCAAAAGAACAGCTTTTATTTGAAACAGAAATCTTTTTTTAACATTTTAAATGCCTTTACTCTCACTTATGATCAATTTAAATCATTTGTAGGCTTTAAACGCTAAAATTCTGTTTGTTTGATTTTAGTTTTGCTCCATTAGTAGTGCAAAAAATTAAGCAGCATTGTGTGTGTATGTCTTTGCAGACTAAGGTCGGCCACTTTGCGTCACAGTTTCTGGGCTACCAGCAACACGACTCTCAGGAGCTGCTGTCTTTCCTGTTGGATGGAGGGATGCTGACCTGACCAGGTGCTTTTCACACACAAACACACACACACACACACTATAGTACACAAAGAACAAAGAAAGCCACTGAAAAAACAAATAAAATTCAGTGTCGGAAACAGCCTTCCACACACATCAGTGTTTCTCCCGCATGAGAGGCGTTTCTTTGAAGGGGAAGGGG